AGCGTCTTGATAGCACTCCGATCGATGAAATCCTTGCACTTATTGATCTCATCAGAAAGTTTCGCGATAAAGGAGGCCATTAGTATAATTTGGAGGAAGAGGATATTGTAGAGGGAAGAATTGGAAAGATTGCAGAAGGAAGAACTAGAGGGTTTGGTCTGAACGAGCAAGGATGATAAATTTGAGAGTTTGGGATTTCTGAAAGCGTAAGATATGACTAGAGTGAAGTGTGGGTATTTATAGGCTTTTCAGATTGAAGATCAAACGCCTGAATTTCGAAAGGCACTGGAATTCGAAAAGCGTTGGTTCAAATTGGGGGGAAATGTAACCGGGAAAGTCTGCAATCATTTCGGATATTTTGGGAACCTGCGAAAATGGAATCGAGGAGTCGAAAATCCAGGACGCACGATTGCGTGCGGCGACAGGTTCAATGCATTAATAAAGATAGGGCGATTCAATTAGTGCACGGTTTCGAGGCCCATGATTGAAGCTTTTAAGAACGGCGGAGAATTGACGCGTGGCCACGCGTTGGGGGCAACGAGGAAGGTGCAATCATGTCTCATAAATATGCAGGAATAATGGTCATTAATGAAGTAAGGTCCAAAAAAGCAATAAATGTTTTCGCTTCTTCAAGGCCGAGAACCAACCAAGAGTGACAGTCGGCGACCTCAGAAGCGAGGGGGCAATGTTTGGGCCCAAAATATTATGATTGGGCCGAGCAGCAAGATGTGCTCGGCCTAAGGTAATGACAAATACTATGGGCCGAATAATAAAGCTCGGGCCAGCTGGCAGGGTCGGCCGCATCCTATCCTAAGAGGTCCAGATGAGTAGAAGGATCGAGGAAGTCCTGGTGCGACCAGGATTCTCGACCAGCAAGAAATAAAGCCTCAAAAGGAGGAAAATTCAGAATCCCAGAGGGGGTAGGATTGTTCGAGCTAGAGGTAAAATGGGACAAGGACTCCCAATCCAAATCCGAATGGGTTTCAGGGAACGAGGTGCTATAAATACAAGAAATTATGCAATAGAAAGGGCCCTTCAACATCAGCATACAATTGCCCTGCGCAAAACCTCTCAAACACCTTGAGATTTTTCCTTTTCTTTTCCTGCCGACACACCTTCAGTTTGGATAAACAGCACTGTGGAAGCACCCGGTGAGCATCTTCAGTTTGGATAAACAGCACTGCTGCCGCAAAATCAGCCGACCAAGGAGCACCTTCAGTTTGGTAAACAGCACTGCGTCGAAGTCGACCGATTATCTATCTAAGTCTCGGCCGAGAAGGGTTTTCGAACCCTTGTTGGTAGAGGTCATCTTACTAAGCCTTTCCGGCATAGTTGGGTGTTACGAATTGCATTGCTCGGCGTATTGGACGCCGAGTAAGTTTATGATTGGATACTCGCAAGTAAGCTTCAGGGTTCGGCATTCCGACGGCCGAACTACGTTTACCATCAAGACATATATCACATTCGAGTACCTGTGCCCATATAGTTTGGTCTCGATTCAGCGTGCTTATACTCTTACGAATATAATCACAGTGACCGAATCAGGCTTCGACGACTTGTGAACTCCGCAGAATTAGTAGCCTTGTCTTCAGGCTATAGAACCCAGAGACCGAGAGCGTTCCTTCCTCGGTCGCAATCGCAAGATACAGAAGTCGACAGCGCACCCAACGCGACAGCAAATTTTACTCCTCGGCCGAGCTCGGCCGACGAGTTGGCACACCCCGCATTCGACCGAAGGACGTTAGTTAGCTCATTAGTTACTCGGGCTGCGCGCCACATAGGTTTTGTAAATTTTAGAGTCAACAATAACTTATTCTTGTATGTTGATTAAGGATGCATACTTAGTTTGCATGCATGAATCTGATGCTAAAATATAAGGGAATTTCACCTAATAGTTATGAACTTATATCTATAAGTAGTGGAAATCACTAGTCATGATTGTGTTAAGTAAATCCATGGCAGGAGTATCATGCAGTTCATAGTTACGAATGCCATGTCAATTCTTATGATTTTCATAGAATGTAATGATCTTTGATATGTATCTCTATCATGTTGTTCATATAGGGAACTTGATAAGAATAATTTGATTGCGTCGCTGAGTCCAATTTAATGAAATTAGGAAAATCTTAGAGTTAATTTCTGTAGTTCACAATTAATTTGGGGCACTTTCATTCATAGTTTATAGGAATAATAACTGGAAATCGATTTGTATGCATATGGTTCATGTGTGGAGAAGAATCCTTTAGCTAGCCTTTCACCCCTTAAGTCACCTTAATTTTGTGCAACCTTTACTTAGTTCTGCAACTTATTAGTTTTAACTCAATTTTCATCCAAACAAACCCCCCTTTCATGTTTTGAGTCAATTTAGTTAGATTTTTGTCCAAATCACCCCTTAGTGCTTGTTTTGAGTTATTTGAGTCAGTTTAAGTTTAGTTTTCTGTTTTTGAGTCTAGTTTAATGATTTAGAGTTTAATTTGTGCAGATTATCATCCCTCCTAATCCCCGGCCTAGAACGATCCCTACTTACGCATACTACAATTATCTAAAAGAGGGTTTAATTTGTGTGTTAGTTTCTACCACATCAGATATTGTGTACCTAGTTATTTGGATTGTGGATTGTTTACTAAAATTTGTTGTTTGATGGTTAAGTGATGGGATTGCTTGCTTGCCTGTTGGAATTGGTTACTTGTTTACTTTGTCATTTGTTCGCTCGCTTGCTTGTTCGCTTAGACTGCTTACTCAAATTGCTCGCTTGAATCATTTGTTTTGTCGTGTCCACCTAACTTAGCTTGTCTTGTCGTGTCTACCTAGCAGAGCTTGTTTGTCGTATCCGCCTAACGGAGCTTGCATCTACATCTTGATCGGATTTTTAACACCTGCAAAAGTAGGGATAAAAACATTTTAAATTACTTGCAAGAGAACAAGTAATTGTAATATAAACAACTCAAGTAAGGTTGTTCTCCACAGAGATTATTGAAAACAATTTAAAAACCCAAATCTTAATTAATTATTTAAAATAAAGTTTAGAAAAGATTATTTTAGAATTTAATACAATAAAAATGAATTTAAATAAAAACACTAAGTAAATTGGCAAGAGAAGGTAAGCAAAAGAAACCGGTTTTTGAAAATCAATTTGTAAAAGCACTAGGGTTCCGCCATCACTTTAACAATTCTATGTAGTTTTACCAATCACTTATGAATTACACATGCAACTTTGAAGGTTAGGTTTTCCGAATGCATATTCTACTTGTGGCATTCAAGATAGAACATATATCAAACATGCAATCCATATGTGACATTCAGATCAAATGTGAACATGCATGACTCATTACACTTTGTGAAAACACTTTGAAAAACCATGAAACACTTAAGACGTGGTATTCGCCGTAAATGAACTTACAATTATTAATCACAAGAAGCACTCCTCAATTTTAAGGTAACATTCCAACAAAAATTACATCCGATTACTTATCTAAGCATCCTAATGGTAATCAAGCATCAAGAATAAAGATAGTTAAATACAGTGATTAATAATTCAAAGTATGCATGCATAATATCATAAGCAATTAAATAAAACACTTGAGTCGTTTATATTACAATTACCTTGAAGTTAATTGTTTAAATTGTAATAAAACAGCCTTAAATAAACGACTCTGTTTTAATTGTAATAAAACACTTGAGTCGTTTATATTACAATTACCTTAAATAATTGTAATATAAACGACTCTGTTTTAATTGTAATAAAACAGCCTTAAATAATTGAGATTAATCTTTTGTTGGGAATTTGATTGAAGAAGAGAAATTTTGGTGAGTTATTTGAAAATTTAATCTTATGTTTTTTGTAATATAACAGCCTTAATTAATTGTAATAAAACGACTCTGTTTTAATTGTAATATTTTTGTAATATTTGAAAATTTCAAAATAATTGTAATATAAACGACTCTGTTTTAATTGTAATAAAACAACCTTAAATAATTGAGATTAATCTTTTGTTGGGAATTTGATTGAAGAAGAGAAATTTTGGTGAGTTATTTGAAAATTTATTCTTATGTTTTTTGTAAGTAAATTTTGGTTATAGATTTTGTGAGTGATTAAGAAATTTAAATAAAGAATTGTGATTAATGGTAGTTAGTTAAACAAGAGTTTAAATTTGGGTCTATCATAGTAATTATCTTCCGAAATAAATTTCGGGTTGGGGCATTATAGCTTGAACCCAAAAGACACCATCTTGAACGCCAAAAAGCATAAATAAACCCAAAACATCACTTTGATGGCTTCATGCACTGGTCCTTTATTTCATCGCCATAAATTAATCGCTTGGTAAAAAAATCTGAAACATTGTTACAAATAAGTTGAAAGACTAACGACCATCCTCCAATTAGAATCACTCCAAAAATCATTCATTTATCACTTTTGCTCACGAGGAAGTCTCATGTCCTATATTAAGAATAAAAATCAAAGTATCAAATTTTCACCAACATATACTAAGAATAGGGTGAAATATATAATATAAAATAGACTTATCACATCTTCTTGTTGGTACCTCATGACGTGTGCCGCCATGAGTTAAGCAGGGAGTGTTGGAAATTAGTTATTATTTTATTTTTATTTATGGTTTTCTTGTGAGCCAAGGATATTAGAGTTTCTTGCCCATTAAGGAATGCTTTAGTTTCCACTATATGTAGTAGTGCTTGTATTAGTTTATTTTAAACAAGTTATTCACAATGTAGCCTCTTAGGTTATGTAGCCGTTCTGGCAATCTTTCATTCACTTAATAAAATTGTAGTAGTTTATACTTAGTTTGTTCGTTTGTTAATCACACTTTGATATTCAACTCTAATCACTTTGTAGATTTTACATTACTATACATTTGGTGAGAATTGGAGTTCTTTTTGTAATTTAATATTTTACGCCTACTATTTTTTGCAAAGGTGATCTTTATAAAATGATTTACAATTTAATAATTTCGATTATAAGCACAAAATTTTATGTGTTGGTCTGAAGTATTTTGATAAAGAATTCCTCCTAATTCTTGAATAGTCAAGTATTGGATGCAACATTTCCTATTACTATCCTAGAGTTTCTTCATCCATTATACTCATTTGACCACTAAATGAAAAAGAAAGTGCTATTCACACACCTATTTCACTTCCCAAGCACCCTTGTTAATTTTTGCTCATTGATCTTCTACAATTCATTCAATTCGACAGTCGAAATTTGAAAGGGTGTGAGAAATTAAAATAAATGTGTGAATAACACTACTAAATGAAAATTATTTTTATGATAAAAAATTAAAAATAAAAAAATAAAAATATACTACGTGTTGTAGTTGCTTTTGACAGCAATGCATGCCAAATGCGTGAAAGCAACGAAACCTTTTGGCCCATATAATATTTAAATTTCTAAAAACCTATTTAGATTTCTTATGTCACGTATCTCCAACACGGTAGCAATTCAATCAACAAATTGATAAATTAACAACTCGCTTTGTATATTTATAAGGTCAGTTGTTACTCAAATTAGCAAATTGAATCCTACTTTTTAAAATAGCATAAACACATCAAACGGTTCAGCAAATGATACTTTTAAGGAAAATTTTGAGATCAACTTTTGGGTGCACCTTGTTTTCTTATCATGTGATATACGGTAATAGTACGTTCTTAGCATAAGACTTCAATTTAACACAAGCGGAATTGCAAGCAAGCTTCTCATGAATGCTCACGAGCTTTACAAAATCATGCCAGAAACCTCAAGCTCAGCTTGTTCTTCAAACGTGCCGTGTTCATTTCTATTACAAGCGAATATCGGACAAACTAAATCGGAGTCGAGCTCGATGCAAGCTCAAGGTACTTCAAGTCCATTTGCGAAACTATTCACAAGTCTTGTAAAATGCAGTAGTTCTCATATAATTTTCCTCTGCAATTCTTCGGTTTCCATTACCAGCGTCTTGGACTACCATTCGAGTCTCATGACACCCAAATAACTATAGATAACAATCTTTCAAGCAAGGATTCCAACTTAATATTTCATTTCAATTCTTACTCATTAGTACTACGGTCTAGTGGCATTCCTCTTCGCTAGTAAGTGAGAGGTGCAAATCTATTCCGAAGGAAGCTCCTACAGGTATACAGTTTGATAGAATCGCCTGAATGACTTAACACCAAATTTCATATGGCCAGAAACAATGGAAGAAGAAAACCCTCGAAAAAATGAGTAAACATGGAAACATTTGTGCAGACAATCAAATAAATCTTAAATTAAAACAAACAATGCGGTGATTTCCATAAAATCAAAGAAATCTGAACACACAGGTCAATTATTGATTCACAAAGATCCAACAAAGAAACGATGCAACTTCCATATCAAAGAAAGATCATGCCAGGATATCATGTTAAATTATAGAGGACCTGGGAAAGTTCCGCCCGCCCTCTGCTCGTCCCACTTCTCAATCTACAATCATCCAAGCCCACGACAAAAAGGTTAGATTTCAGATATAATAGAGAATAAAATGTACCATTACCTTTTCACTATACAAAGTGCTACCATTAATTGGAAAATCATCAAAAAATCAAAGGAAAAAACACGAAAACAAACAAATACCAAACAAAAATCAAATAATATAGAATCACTGCAAAATTCCTATCTAGCCATAATCTGGGAAAAAAACTTGAGATTTCAATCCTGGACTCCGGGTGCTTCAATCCTATTGCTTTCACAATTTTTTTTTTTTTTTTCCCCTCTAACATTCAAGACTTGTCCATCTAGCCAATTAACAACAATTCACTTTCAAGGGAAAATGAAAAAAGGATGATAAGAGAGATGTAAAAGAAAAGATACACAAAACGAAACCTAAAAGCTATTTTTTAAGTGTTTTTCACTTTGACGATTTTGTTTTCATTCATCCTTAATAATTGTACGAGAAAAAGTCCAACATGATAGCGGGAACACATTTCATAGTTCAAACTTGTTCACCTTAATAATTTAAATGTTGAACTTTGAGCATTTTATAGGAAAAGCTTTCTCCCCATACTTGCCAAAGACCTTTTCTCCGATAACAATACAACAGGACTAGATAAGACCATAAGGACCTTTCCCATTCTTGCTTTATATTTCAGACATAGGTATATGAAGTGCTTAATCAAACATTGACACAATAAGAACACATCAGTTTTGAAGTATTCAAAAAGGAATGAGCAATGCACTCACCCATTCACCAGGGCAGAGAGAGCGGTAATATTTGGCAAATTTCTCACATTCATTCGATTCTTCACCCTTTGCTGAGACGCACCTGCAATTGGTTTCACATGTTAAGGATGGAAAGGAAAATTCTCAATTAACAGTTTACGGTTGAGCTCCTAGTGCTAAAGTTTGAAAAACTACCTATGAAATTCAATGTAACGCGTGAAACAGTGCCTAGTTTGGTTGGTTGTGGGGAATCGAAAATCAGCAGGTGCTGTTTTCAGCTCAATCTGAGGTAACACAGCAGAAAAAAGAAAGTAACAATTAATTGTAAATACGGAGAAGAAAAACAGATAAACTCCATCAAAGTGGCATTCCGTGGTCTAGAACAATATCAATTTTATGCTGCCCTTACACTTTACATCTTGGGATATTTCATTCATTAGATTCCATGAACTAGTGTCTACTTCCAATCAGTGACAAAAGTATACATGAGATCAAAAGGAAAACTGAAATCCATGAATACAGACCACGCAGGTAACCGTGACGGGTCACAATACCAAGAAACATCCTATAGTACTTATTACAAACCATATACAAGTAGAGAATTTGTGATAACTGAAAATACAATCAAAGTTCAGGCAAGAAGTCGGGTAATCCTTGCCAAACAAGTACCCATTAAAAATACGGGCATTCAGGAATATCGGAAATGGAGCAAACATTAACACACAAAATTTTCAAAAGACATTCAATCAGTCTGTTAGACTGGGGTTGAACAGGCAGACAAGTTTTGGATCCGATTGTTTCATACCGCTCAGAAAATGTAATCGGCCCCAAATTAGACTCCGTACAACTCACAAAGGTTTATAGATCTCCATATATATATAATTGCAACAACCCAAATTTCTTTTGATCAGGAAACTTTCATACAACATAAAAAGTAAAGGCAAATCTCCTGAGTTATTTCAAATTATATTCTACGTGCGCAAATAATTGATGAACAATAAAATAAATCAGAAATCTAATTAGGCCAAATCTACAAAGAAATTACCCAGAAAATAAAAAGAAAATAATCATAATTTTAAAAAATTAAAATTAAAATAAAAAAAATAAAAAGGATAAAACAAAACACAAGTCTGGAATGCTAACCTCGGCCATGACTGAAGAGTGAAGACAAACTCGATGATCAATGGGAAAATAATTTACGAATAAATGGGTGGGCTCTCCCTCTCCCTCTGCCTCCCCTTCCCTTCAGTTCCTTCGTGCGCTGACTAATTCTCCGTTGCCACGAAATTCTCCACTAAATAGTAGGTCAAATTACGTTTTTGGTGCTTAAATGTTAAGCCAATTTCTAATTTTGGTAGCTCTCATTTCTACGTTGGCAATTTTAGCCGTGCAATTTTTCCTTCTTAGCAATTAAGTCCTCCAAATCTCCAAAAATGCCTCTATTTCAACTAGAAATCAACCAAATGCTCAGAGTTGATAAGTCTGCTTGATTATGACCACGAATAGGATGAAGTTCCCCATAACCTCTCCGTGCCTGGAATGATGGATAAACGTGACTTGCCACCAGTTGTACCTGTCACGTCCTAAAAAGGGGCACTATTAGTAACGCAATATTATAGTGTTAAATTCCAACACTATAGCACTACATTCTCAATAGAGCGTAAGGCTATTTGAGGGGAAGTAAAATAATTTATTTTTAAGCAGTACAGAAGCGAAAATCATTTTGGTAAAACGAAGAATACAAGGGCAACGGAATTTGGATAAATTTTTTACAACAAAGACAAAGTTTACAACTTACAATAGAACCAAAGAGTTTAAAGTAAGTAAACATACTAACCAACTCTTAAGTACGATTTGAAAAGTACAAAGTGCTAAGTTTAGCTACAAAATATTCCTTCAGGATGGAGGGAATCAAGCATATGTACAAACAAAACCAGTGGAAAGTCAATGAGCGACTAAGAAGTTGACAAGTAACAAACAACACTTGTCCTGACTTTAGTCCATATCGTCTATTTGTAGGTGCATCGGTCCTGTAATAAAGTAGGGGTGAGCATCACAAACGTTCATCGCTCCCCCTTAGGGAATCCACCCCAGCTAGGTTTGAAAATAGTATACAACACCACATATACTATAGGAAAATGATTGATGCACAACAAAAGCTTTGTTTAGTTTTGAAAATAGATTGTATGCCCACACAATTTTCTTTTTAAAGGAAAACAGGGATCCCAATAAATCACTACATGCTTGATGACCGATCTAATGACCAACTACCCCCTTACCTGGACCAACTTCGAACGAATATACTTATGGTAAGGTGTAGCAAGAGTGTCCTTTAATGATCTACCCTTAGGTATCCTAGTACCTCTCCTAGAAAGGTAGCGATACTAATCCCTTCATAGTAGCCCCTCCGGAGGTTTAGAGGATCGAAACCCAAGGCAGTTGCTAGTCCCCTTTCACTCTCAAGTCATCACTTTAATTTTTAGCATAAAACAACATGTATATCATGACATAAAACAAAACCATTTTTCCTCACGGTTCTATCACAACAAAATTTATGCAGCTTTCACAAGCATGCGTATATTTACATATACATAGATTCACAAAATTCCATAACTAGGGTAAGTGAGGATCGCCCAACTTTGTGTCCAAGCCAAGTAAACAATATTCCTCACCAATGCCTCGATTAAACGCAAGCACCGCAAGCAATTGGAGTCCCTAGTTCAACAATTACAATATATCACTATATGTTCATATATAATGACTCAACTTTATTCCCATAACAACAATTATATCCAACAGGGACCTTCACTTAACCAGTTTAAAACTCCTATATTTGAACTTTTTATTATTTCAAATAGGTCTCCAAACTTTTGGTAATTGCACTTTGGCCCCTGAATTTTTGGTAATTTACAAAATTACCCCATAACTAAAACTATTTTCGTAGTTTAATCCTTGGTATGAAACTAGCAACTTTGAGGTCTATTTTTCCTAGAATTTCAACATATATTTCAGCCAAAACACAATCCATCAATATTACAACTCATTTGTTCCATAATAATGTCCTTTAAAGTCCAAATTTGAAGTATTTCGAATCAAACATTATATTTCTCTAAATCTCATTATATGAAACTTGTACAAAATCTCAGGAATCTGATCATGTGTAAATCTTTACCTTAATGTCTCAAAAATCGTTCTCCAGTCATCAAATAGGCTTCAAAGCCCTCAAATCATGCAAGAACAAACTTGAAATCAAAGATTTGGGACTAATTAGTTACAAATCCCAATGTGAATGAAATATTCAAACTTAAGTAATAATCCTCAAAATTTACCTTCGAACGTTGGGTTCGATTCACTGAGCATGTAGGCGAAAACCGTTCCTCAATCAAATTCCCAAATTGAAAGTTATGAATTTTGAAAGATTGAAGGGAATTTTTTTTGTTCTTTTCCTTTTGCTGTTTTCATTTTAGCTTGCAGCACTTAAAGAACCTTGTTGGCAACATCTCAACCATCCTTATCCATATATTTCTTTTGCCATCTAAAAATCCTACACGTCTAGCTTGAAAGAGTGCTTAGTAAGCACTACTAATGGTTGCCTTAGAAAGTTGACACAACAATCAGCACTGTTGTTTGTTGGTCACTCAAGCAGCTGTCATTTGGCAAGCTAGCCACTTATTGGCTACCACGTGTCACTTACTCATTGGTCCAACATGTAAATCACTTTAAAAATTCATCTTAGTTCTAAAGGTAACCGAAAAATGCTACGAACTCTTAATGACGTCCACTTTCATCTTTTTACCCCAAAATAATCTTTGAACTCAAGTAAATTTATCACCTATTTAAAAGGAACTAGAATTTGTAAAATTTATAGGCACTCCAAAGTTCATAAAAACACCTCTAAAATTTCAGTGTCTTACATTCCACCGTCCTTAAAACAAGTTTCATCCTCGAAATTTACAATGCTATCCAAAAAGATGGGGATACTTCTTTTTCATTTCGAACTCCAGTTCCCATGTTGCTTCTTCAGTTCCATGATGTTGCCATTTAACCTTCACCAGAGGCACTTCCCAGTTCCTAAGCTTTTTCATTTCTCGATCAAGTATACAAATCTGTCCTTCTTCATAGAACACAATCTACTCCAGTGGCAGATTAACCTAAGGCATAATTTGTTGGATATCGGGTGCACTCTTCTTTAATTGAGATATATGAAAAACATTGTGTATGTATGACAACTCTGGTGGCAAATCCAATCTATAAGCAACAGGTCCAATGTGTTCACTAATCTTAAATGAACCTATGTATATGGGTGCTAACTTCCCTTTCACCTCTAACCGGTTCACTCCTTTCTGAGGGAAAACCTTTAGAAATACAAAATTACCAACTTGAAACTCAAGAGGTTGTCTTCTCTCATCAACATAAGACTTTTGCCTACTCTAGGCAATTCTCAGTCTATCTTGAACAACCTTAATCTTTTCACTAATTTCTTTAATGATTTCTGTGCTAAGAGTAATTCGATCTTCATGCTCAGCCCAACACCATGGTGATCGACAAGGTTGTCCATAGAGTGCTTCATAAGGTGCCATATCAATGCTACTATGATAACTATTGTTATAAACAAATTCAGCAAGTGATAGGTACTTGTGCTATTTTCCACCAAAATCAAGTATGCACGTACGAAGCATATCTTCCAATACTTGAATTACTTGCATTGACTGTCTATCAGTTTGCGGATGATAAGTTGTACTTAAATCAAGGCGAGTTCCAAGCTTATCTTGTAACTTATTAGTAAGTCTGTCAACTATCACCCAAATACCATTTTGTTCTTTCTTTTATCTTGGTAAGCCGGTAATAAAATCCATCGTGCTGTTGTCCCATTTCCATTCTAGGATAGGTAGTGATTATAGCATTCCAAACGGCTTCTGGTGTTCTGCCTTTACTTGTTGGCACACTACACATCGGCTAACATAAATAGCAACATCACTCTTCATACCTTTCCACCAATATTGCCTTTTCAAATCCTTCTACATTTTAGTACTTCCAAGATGCATAGTGATTTACGTTCTATGAGCTTCATCTAGTACTTTCCTTTTGACTTCTTCATTTTCAGGTACAACCATTCGGTCTTTGTACCTCACACTACCATTTTCATGAAGCTTCCATTCATTAAGTGCTTATCCTGAAACTATCTTCTGCCTTACTTCTTGTAGTTCAGGATCTTCATGTTGTTTCTGCACTATATATCGCTCCAACTGAGGTGCTAGACTAAGATTCGCCAAATAAGCACTTAAGTCATCATGTTGCACTTCTAGATCATAATCTTGTATTGTATCAAACATCTCTTTATACGCCAACACCAGACAAGACCAAGTGCTCTTGGTCTTTCTACTTAAAGCATCAACAACTACATTTGTTTTCCCAGATGATAAGACAATTCAAAATCATAGTTCTTTATGTACTCCACCCATCTTCTTTGTCTCAAATTCAAATCACATTGAGTAAATATATGTTTAAGACTTTTGTGATCTAAATAAACATTGAACTTACTACCGTACAAATAACATCTCCAAATCTTCAATGCATGTACTACAACAGCTAGCTCCAAGTCATGTGTTGGATAATTTCTCTAGTAATTCTTTAACTGTCTTGAAGGATAAGCTACAACTTTTCCATTTTGCATTAGCACACATCCGAGTCCTTGTGCCGATGTATCTATATATATCTCAAATGGATCTTGGTTATTAGGCAATACTAACACCAGCGTTGTGGTAAGTCTTGTTTTATATTCTTCAAATGATGACTCACACTTATCGTCCCATTCAAGACTTACTCTCTTTCTTGTGAGACGGGTTAATGGAGTTGCAATCTTTGAGAAATCCTGAACAAATCTTCTATAATAGCCAACCAATCCAAGAAAACTTTGTATCTCCGAGACACTATTAGGCTGCTTCCAGTTTAATACCACTTCACTAGGGTCCACACAAATTCCATTTCCAGATATTACATGTCCAAGGAATTGTACTTATGTTAGCCAGAAATCACACTTCAACTTCTTAGCATATAACTGGTTGTCCATTAAAATCCGTAAGACTATATGGAGATGCATTTCATGATCCTCCATAGTCTTAGAATAAATAAGGATATCATCAATGAAAACAATAACAAACTTATCCAAGTTTGGTTGGAATACTTGATTCATAAGATCCATAAATGCAGCTGGTGCATCAATTAAGCCAAATGGCATGACTACAAACTCAAAGTGTCTATAACGAGTGCGAAAAGCAAACTTTGGTATATCCTCTTCCCAT